ATCTTAGCTGACAGCCTCATTATTTCTTGTTTGAAACAGTTAAGAATATCCTAACTTGTTTCTCTAGTTTTGGTTTTTCCTCCTTTCAAACTACCATTCATATCACCAGTGATATGGTTTGGCTATGTCCCCACCCAAATCTCATCTCAAATTGTAGATCCCCTAATTTCCACAGGTTGTGGGAGGGACCCAGAGGGAGATAAGTGAATCACAGGGGCAGTTTCCCCCATACTTTTCTTTTGGTTGTGAATAAGTCTCATGAGATCTGATGATTTTCTAAGAGGCTTCCCCTTTCCCTTGGCTCTCATTCTGTCTTAGCCTGCCACCTCTTAAGACTAGCCATGTGAAACTGTGAGTTCATTAAACCTCTTTCCTTTACAATTACCCAGTTTTTCGTATATCTTTATCAGCAGTATGAAAACAAACTAATACAACCATCTAGCCACGTGGAAGCGTGAGTCCATTAAACCTCTTTCCTTTTCAAATTACCCAGTTTTTCGTATAGCTTTATCAGCAGTATGAAAACAGACTAATACAACCATCATATTAAGTTTAACAAAAAATTATAATGCCTTAGGAGTAGATGAAATCACATAGGGAGCATGTTATGGTGAAAAGAGAAGAGTGATTAAGAGTAGGAGGAAGACCAGAAGAGTGAAGGGATGAAGCCAAGGCAAGAGGAAGTTTCAGGCAGAGAGTAACTGGTACAATGAAGTGCAACTGGAAGGAGACGTTGTTTTACGTTGAAAATGTTTTTCTGACCTGCTGTATCCTGACATATATAATACCTCCCTGTGTACTAATAAAATACCTCACAAAATATCTTAAAGAAAAAAAATTATAATCCAAAATATCTTTAAATGTTAAAATTCTTCAGTGATTGCCCATTTTTCACAAAATAAAAGTCTAGACTCCTTGCCATGGCATTCAAAGTTCTATAAGGTTCCTTCCAGCCTTGTCCCTCACATTCTCGCTCATATTCTAAATTCAAGCCATACAAAAATTATTCTCTCTTCTGTACATGCTATACACTTTCAAGCTCTGCCTCCACCCTACAATGGGCTCTGGGCATGGGATTAATTCCCTTGCCTTCTGTGAGTATGGAAAACACTCAAACTGTTTTTCCTCTGCCTTTTGACCAAAATAATCAACAGGGAAGACTTTTCTTACCAAATGTGTGGAGGTTTCTCCCCACCAACAAACAAGCAGACACCAGCTGGAACCTCCAATTCAATTCTGACACTACCCACCTGGAGACAGCATCAGATCCCACAGGTTGGGGGCTCAAGCCTCAAGACAGCCCCCACTTCCAATGCCAATGACAAGCCCAGGTTATTCTATCTGTGCTTCTGACCAACCAGCCATGAATCCAGGTACCTACAACCTCTTTCTCAGGTTCTATTAATTTGCTAGAGCAGTTGACAGAACTCAAGGAAACACTTATGTTTACAGGTGTATTACAGAGGATGTTACAAAGGATACAGATAAAGAGATGTACAAGGAAAAGAGTCTCCATGCCCTCCAGAACCTGCACATGTTCAGCACAGTAGGCATGACTAATCAAACCAGTGATCACCGGTGATCAACTAAACCTTCTGCCCTTCTCCCCTCCCTAAATGTTAGGGGATGGGGAGAAACTAAAGTTCTGACTCTAATCCTGCCTTGGTCTTTCTGCTGACCAGTCCCCATCCTAAAGCTACCTGGGGAGGGGGGGTGCCATCTACCAGTTAACTCATTAAGCATACAAAAAGACATCATTTCAGAGGTTTCCAGGATTTTAAGAGTTGTATGCCAGGAAATGGCATCAAAGACCAAATATGTACTTTACAGTATGACACTTCCCAATTTCCACTTGGCAATCTTCTATTTGTCCATCAAGACTCTGCTCAAATATCATTTCTTCTGTGAAGTCTGCTGACAATTCTCTCAAAACATTGGTGCAGTCTTTCTAGGTTGTGACAATATACTTTTTTTGGACAGTCACTTGTATTTTTAAATTCTTTTGAAAAATTATAACTATGCAATAATGGTATTACCTGTGATGTTATAATATATGTACACAGTATGGAATAATCCAATATGTCTTTTCAATTATGATACAGCACTTCTCAGACTTCACTTGAATAACTGTTTTCATGTTCATCCATCTCTAGACAGATTATTTTCAGAGTATAGCAAGGAACCTGTTTTATTTAATGTTTTGTATTCCAAGCACCTAACACAATACCTGGCATAGAGTAGGTGTTTAATAAATGTATAAAGGGTGAAAGAAATGGACAAAGGCAAAGCTATATTATCTTTAAAATTAGAGAAATTTGTCCTTATTCTGGCAGACAGGCAAAGTGTCACCAACAATACATGCAAAATTAACTTTTTTTTTTTTTTTGAGACGGAGTTTCGCTCTTGTTACCCAGGCTGGAGTGCAATGGCGCGATCTCTGCTCACTGCAACCTCCGCCTCCTGAGTTCAGGCGATTCTCCTGCCTCAGCCTCCTGAGTAGCTGGGATTACAGGCACGCACCACCACGCCCAGCTAATTTTTTGTATTTTTAGTAGAGACGGGGTTTCACCATGTTGACCAGGATGGGCTCGATCTCCCAAAAGTGCTGGGATTACACAAAATTATCTCTTAAGATAATTTAAGCTGGCAACAACATGGAAAGTGAAGTAGGAGTGAGAAGCAGCACAAGTTGGGAGATCCCTGCAATATTTTCAGTGAGATGTAATACAAGGACCTAAACTTGGATAGTGAAGGGGATTTGGAAGGAGAGGATACAAACATTCGTGATCTATTAGAGGTAAAACTGATAGAACTTCACTTGTGACTGACGGTAGAAAGCAAATGAGGAGGAATCCAATACAGCACTGAGACTCTGAGCCTGGGTGACAAAGAGGTCCATTAACAGGAGAAATAGTGAGTGCTGAGCTCATGATGAATGATGTGGTAGATAATGGGAAGTCTGAGGCACTAAGCTGAGCCATCTGCAAACAGCTGAAAAGACAGGCTTGAAGCTTAGAGAAAATGCCACAACTGAGACAGGAAGTTGAGAGAGATCATTTTAGAGATAATTGCAGAAATCATGAGACTAGAAAACACATAAGAAAAAAAAAAATTTCGGCTGGGTGTGGTGGCTCAAGCCTGTAATCCCAGCATTTTGGGAAGCCGAGGTGGGCGGATCACCAGGTCAAGAGATCGAGACCATCCTGGCCAACATGGTGAAACCCCGTCTCTACTAAAAATACAAAAATTAGCTGGATGTGGTAGCGTGCGCCTGCAGTCCCAGCTACTCAGGAGGCTGAGGCAGGAGAACTGCTTGAACCCGGGAGGTGGAGGTTGCAGTGAGCCAAGATTGTGCCACTGCACTCCAGCCTGGCACCTGGCAACAGAGTAAGACTCTGTCTCTAAAAAAAAAGAAGAAGAAGAAAAGAAAAAAAATTTCAAAGATAAAACCTTGGGAAAGGTCATTATTATTTAAGAGTAGGAGGGGAAGGGAAAAAAGATGAAAGAGGAATTAAATAAGTAGAATCAGAAGAGCATGCAGTATGGAAACCAAAAGAACTGAGAAAGAAAAAAATTACAACTATTATAGCAATCAAACAATATGAAACCTAATAAAAGAATTCGAGTCACGGTATTTTTCAGAAGAGCCAACTCAGCAATTCAGCAGGGGCAGGAGAAGGGCAAGTGAATGCTGCAAGAATTAACAGAAGCAGTGAGCAAAGCCTACTACTTCCAGAAGCGTAAGTGCAGACCACTTCATAAAACCTTATGTCCTATCTATTGCTTAAAACGTAGATCCCCAAAGAATTCCCACATTTTACCTGATCATCACAGTCTCTAAATGCATTTTAAAACAGTAAGCCTGATTTCCCTGTAATACTGTCTGAGGATGGCTTCTGCCCTCCTATTTCTGTCATGACTGTAGCTCCTACCTCTTTAAATTCTATATCCAAAGATCTGCTGTTCTAATACGTTTAAAAAAAATCTTATCCTGGGCTGGGTATAGTAGCTCATGCCTGTAATCCCAGCACTTCGGGAGGTTGAAGTGGGAGGATGACTCGAGTCCAGGGGTCAACACCAGCCTGGGCAACAGAGAGAGATAATGAGACCCTGTTTCTACAAAAAAATTAAATAGCTGGTCATGGTGATGCCTTCCTGTAGTCCCACCTATGTGTGAGACTGAGGTAGGAGGATTGCTTGAACCCAGTGATGTGAAACTATGCTCACACCACTGCACTCCAGCCTGGGTAACAAAGCAAGAATCTGTCTAACCCCCCACACACAAAAAAAAAAAAATCCTGAATTCTAGAAAGCATAAAATTTCAGAATAACAAACATTGTTTTCTTTTTTTTTTCCAATATAATCTTGCTGTTTTTTTGAGACTGAGTCTCGCTCTGTTGCCCAGGCTGGAGAACACTGGCACAATCTCAACTCACTGCAACCTCTACATCCTGGGTTCAAGCAATTCTCATGCCTCAGCCTCCCAGGTAGCTGGGCTCATAGGCTTGCACCATCATACCCAGCTAATTTCTGCATTTTTAGTATAGACAAGGTTTTGTCATGTTGGCCATGCTGGTCTGGAACTATTGTCGTCAAGTGATCCCTGAGACTCAGCCTCCCAAAGTGTTGGCATTACAGGCACATGGCCTTGCACCTGACCTAATCTTGCATTCTGAATGCTGCTTTGCAAACTCGGGGAAGAAATAAACGTGTAAACCATTTAATGCTTATCTTCAAAAAGGAGATTTATGAAAGTGATTAGTAAGAAATAAATACCTTTTTCTTCTGAAGAGGTTCAACATTTATAAGGAAAATACATTAGAATTACCTATGAACTCATCAGAAAGATGACTAAAGAAGCTAATATAAAGTTGTGGTGTTAAAAAGAAACTGAAGAAAGCTCAAATAAAGTTGCAGTGTAAAAGGATTACTTTTCACTATTAAAAAATCAGAAATTTCCTATTATTATGTTCTTTTCCTAATTATGTCTTTTCCTTACCTCCAAGATGTGGCTAGTTAAAACTTTACTTCCAATTTTCTCCGAACAGCTTTGACCTATGCTTCCATCTCATGAATTCCAAGACAGTATTAAGCTGATGCATATTTCCATAAGTCTGTTTGGGGAAGAAAAAAAAAAAAAAGGAACTAATTTAAGATTTAAGAAACTCTGTCAGAATAACACATGTAGAAGCAATACTAGAAGTATTTCACATGTAAAACTATATATTTTCAAAGTAAAGTCAACAAAAGTTTCTACTGTTTTTAAGAAATCTATCACTTTACCCTCTGCCAAACTTTACACTTGTGAAGTTAGTTCTGTGGGAATAGTACTTCCATATAAAATTCCTATCTTAGCTTAAGCTTTGGAGAAAAAACAAAATCTCATCTCAATTTGGAAAAAAACAGGAATAGCTAGAAGCTGCATTAAAATGTGCAATTCTATAATATTCAGATTCCTACTTAGACAAAAACATACTGGACCACCTAGCTAGTATCATATTTTTTTCTTTTTTATTACAAAGTTTCATAACCACTTTTAATTTAAATCTAAAGGATAGAAACTATTGAAACTTTAAAAAATAATTTTTTTTTTGAGACAGGGTCTTGCTCTGTTGCTGAGGCTGGAGTGGAGAGTGGTGCAATCTCAACTCACAGCAACCTCCACCTCCCAGGTTCAAGCAACAAAAAAATTTGTTAAGATATGTCTGCTCTTTACTTAGAGATCTTAAAAATAATGTCATTGAATCTTTTAGCAGAAACTTCAAATAGCAAAGTATTCTGTTTCGTATTTTAAAAGGTAATGTCCCATTGCAAGGTCAAATATCTTCTCTTCAAATCCATTTAGAAGTATCACTTGTGTCACACTCAGGGTTAGCAGTCTTGGCAATAATAACTAAATTCATGCAAACTGGGGCAACCTGAAACGGTCTACCATATCAGATAGTAGTCTTTCTTAAAGACAAAGAGTCTCCACTCAGCAGACACGCTGCTGTATCTTTCATAGTCCAGCTAAAGACAGTCTGACCCTGAAAGCAATTAGTAATGCTTTGTCTGCATTCAGGAGCCTTTCACAGTCTTCTCAATGTACTAGTTACCCACAACTCAGCCAGGTCCCTAACATTTTTCAGTCCTCATATGACTATAAAACTCTCAGACTGTCCCTCAGAGAAATGAGGAAAGGCAAAAATAAAGAGTTGGTGTTTAGTGTTCTTCTGAGATGCTCATATTCTTAATTTCCCTATTACTAATTAAGAAAAGAAATGCACTGTTTCCATTTTGGAAATGGCATAAAGAGATTTTCCACCAAAGCCATTATTTGCCAATGACTCCATTTCTCCCTAAGCGTGTGGGAGAGAGAAGAGGAAATCACAGAATTAAAGTTCAAATTAATTTATTCCCATGAAAGTAAAAACAGTCCATTAAAGTGTCTGTTTTAAAAATATGTGGCCTAGCTGGGTGCAGGGGCTCATGCCTGTAATCCCAGCACTTTGGAAGGCCAAGGTGGGTGGATCGCTTGAGGTCAAGAGTTCGAGACCAGCCTGACCACACACACACACACACACACACAGCCAGCCTGATTCTAATTCTACCAGATATTTCCAATGTATCAAACAATAAAATTAATATGTAAACTACTTAACAACTATTATTTGTTATAGCACTATTTATTATAACTTTGTTTCCTTGGCCAAAAAGTTTTAAGCTTTGGACTAAATCTAAAGTTTAAAAAATAGAGAACATAACCAAAAGAGTTTTCAAACATCCCATCTTCAAAGTCAAAAACCTCAGATAATCTGTTCTTCCCCTGTTCTCCCACATCTACAAACACTTAACATAAACTTCAGAAACTGTTTTCTTTTTCTTTTTTGAAACAGGCTCTGGCTCTGTTGCCCAATCATGGCTCACTGCAGCCTCCACCTCCTAGACACAAAGAATCTTCCCACCTCAGCCTCCCAAGTAGCTGTAACTACAGGTACACACCACCATGCTCAGCTAATTTTTATATTTTTTGTAAAGATGGGGTTTTGTCATATTACTCAGATGGTCTCGAACTCCTGGGGTGAAGGAATCCTCCCACCTCACCCTCCCGAGTAGCTGGGACTACAGGTGAACACTACCACTCCTGGCTAATTTTTACATTTTTTGTAGGGACAGGGTCACATCATGTTGGCCAGGCTGGTCTCGAACTCCTGACCTCAAGTGATCCACCTGCCTTGGCCTCCCAAAGTGCTTGAGTTACAGGCCTGAGCCACTGTGCCCAGCCCAGAAAACCTTTTATAAAGACTGAACTTAAGACTAGCTAGTCCTGCACATGTATCCCAGAACTTAACAAAATAGACTAGCTAAGGAAAATCAAGTAAGATTTGACTTGATTACTCAGAGGTAAACAAAACACACAGGAACGGATGCGCTCTACAGTACAGGTCTGATAGTCACTTTGTACACACTGGAAGCTGTATAAAGGTTAGGACCTTTGCAATATAGTGCTATAGTCATATGAACATATATCTATAAATATGTATACACATAAAAATAGGACTTAGATGGGCAAAATGTTCCAAACAACTTTAATCATTTAGCTTATTAGGTAATTTACCACAGGCTTTTAGCACTATGAACTTGTGGTTCAACCACCACAACGGGTGTTAGTCAAAACAAAATGCTAAATAAGTATAAGTCATTTTTTCAAAGATTTTGTGTCTGAAATTTCTAAGCCTATTAGTTGTAGAAAACACATTAAAAAGAAGGCAATTCTTTTAAAAACATATGCAAGCTTCTTAATGACATGGAAAAAATGAAAATCAAAACTTTTCTAAATATATTCTAAAATTCATAATTCAGAGCTAACATAAAAATTTCCTCAACATTAATTATTTGCAAACAAACATGAAAAGTTCATTTTAATCCCACATTTCCCTTACAACGTATCTTTTCTTGTCATCAAAATGTACACATCCATCTTGATTTTCAAATTATTAAAATAGCTAAATATTAAACGAACCAAGATACTTTAAAGATCACTCCCATACAGAATCCAAGGACAAGCACTGATTATGGATGTCGTACCAAATATCTATAAGGTTTCAGAATGTGACCCACTGATTTGTATTATTAGCAAGATATGCTTTACAGAAAAGAATAGTGTAAATAGTTTTTACTCAATCTAGGCCAAAACACCTTTATTTCTTTTTAAAGACAGGGTCTCACTCTGTCACTCGGGCTGGAGTACAGCGGCACGATCATGGCTCACTGCAGCCTTGACCTTCCAACCTCTTGCTTCAGCCTCCCAAGTAGCCAGCACCCCGGCCACGCTCTATGCCAAAATCTAAGATTAACTTTAAGCTTGTACCAGATATCAACATGTAATGGAATTCTTAGAATTTGGTGGCATCAACAACACTGATTGCACATTTTTTCCTTCTGCTACTCCAAATCCCCTCTTTCCTACCATTTCTCCTCCCTCTTGGCACCCAGAAAAAGCACCCCATGCACTGTACAAGTACCGCTGCAAACACTATAGCTGCATTCATATAACCATTTTAAAAAAACAGAGCCAAATTACAAAACAATCTATATTTTACAAACATTTCAGTTGGGTTCTTAAAGATACTACTGTTACTTTGGTATGATAACTAGAAAACTCAAACATTATGCTCCAGAAAAATATAATGCGGCTTTATAACTCAAATGAACACTTAATTTAGGCTAGTATGCCATGCACTCCTATAATAAAACATGTAACCACGTAACTAGAAAGGGATAGTCAACTCATGAATGGGTTGTGTTCTAAATTTCTAAAAGTTCATTTATAAATTGAATGTAAGTTTGATTTTGAAACTCAAGATGCCTTTACTCATAAAACCAAACATATATACAGCTGTACTAAATCCATAATCCAGAAGAACTTTGGTGTACAAATCTATCATAGCACTCTTCTATTTAAGCTTATATTTATGTCAAACTACAAGTTTCTTATTTATTTCTGTATCCTAGAATCCAGAACAGTGAATGACACAGAGTAGGATTCTGGCAAGTATTTGCTGTTGTGAGGTATGAATAGTAACAACTCAATGATATAAAACTAGTCTGCAAGAAAATCTAACCTTTCTGAACTATAGAACAGAATCAAATGGCAAGGAGAAATGGCTTCTTCCAGAAGAGATAACAGAAAAAGATACTTGGGCTAGAAAGCTCTGGTCTAAACCACCAACTGCGGCCATTTCCATTCCCCTCGCCAGTGGGTAGTCTGGTAACACACATCTAATGCAGTTCTGGCCAAGAAGACAAGAAAGTAAGTTTGCTAGAGAGCTTTTAGGAAAGGTTTTCTAGGCTGATGAAAAAAGACCCAGGATGCTTCCAGCCTTTTTACATGCAATTCTGGTTTTGAATGTGTAAACAAGAACTGGACCATCAGAACAACCCAACAGATCAAGAACAGCAGCAGCATTAAAAGATGAAAAGAATCTAGGTCCTTGGTGATGCTGTCATGCCTGAATGAATGAATCCTAGAATCATCTTAACACAGGTCTTTTTATATTAAATTCTTTTACTGTTTAGACAATTTGCCACAAGTAACTCAGCAGACAGGGTGACTTAGGAACTGAAACATCATTTACTTTCATGAATTTCATTGTTGTCTACACAAGGTAAACTCCGTTAAATTTATACCTCAGCCCAGATCCTTCTTTTGAACTAGATATATGTTTCCAAACTCTCTATTAAATGTTTATTCCAGTGACACATCAAGAGAACAGGATCAATATAAAAACCATCATCCACCAGCTCAAAATCTGTTTATGTACCTGTGGTCACTTTTTGGCTAATGGTACTACCATTAGGAAAAATGGTAGTACCATTAGCCAGCAAGTGCCCAATTGCCAAAGATTAAAATCTTGGGATCACAAGCCCCACCTCCCTCCGCTTCATCTGTTATACTCAGGAGTTACTAAATGCTGCTCATTCTAACTCTGATACACATATCTTTAAAATGACTCCCCATCTCTACACACACTGTCTAGTGTGGGTGCTCATTTTTCATGTAGCTCACCTCCATTCTTAACTCTGTTCACTGGACTTGTGTTTCTAAAATCTAACTGTGCTTCATGAAAAGATT